AAAAGCACCCCCAACTCCCCCTCCCACATGCATGGGAATATCTATAATGCTTTCCTCTTATAAGTCCATATATATATATATATATATATAGATAGATAGAGAGAGAGAGAGAGAGAGAGAGAGAAATTATAAACATACTCCATATCTATTCCTTTCCCAAGCAATATGGGACAAAGAATCTTCCCAAGAGAGATAAAAGAAAATGACAAAACTCAAAATACAAAGGAGAGAGGAGAGAGATTCTTAAAATTTTGAATCTTCCTCCAACAAATCATCCAACATCGTGGCAACGTCCTCAAATGTCAAGTGGTGTAATAGAAACCAGACCTGACAAACCTAATCATCGGTTGATATTGGTGAACTTCTCTTGCACTAGTGGCTTGACAAAAGAAGTCATTGTAAAGTTATTAATATGCATGGTTTTAAAAGACATTAGATTTGAGGTACGAGGTTTACCTATTGAGGCGGGGCTAGTAGATTGTAAATTGAAGCTTAAAAACGTTAAAAAGGTACAGAAGTATGATCAAGACACGAGGCGTAGAAATGGAGCCTTAAGACTGTATCAAATCCAATTATTGAAAATTTGTACCCGATTACAATCTAAAATCATATGGGATTTTCAGATTTCGATTTCGAAGTCGAATCATAACGAACTCAGATAGGGTTCGGATTTAATCCAACTTCATTTTAATGTTTAAAATACAAACAAAATTAAAAATTAATTACTTTTCAATGTTTTTATATAATAAATTAATGTAAATATAACATACTAGATACATTATATATATATATTCATATATAATATAATATATAAAAATATGTTTTTATTGTTTTAAATATAATTATATTAATTTTAGGGTAAAATACAAAAGCCCCCCTAAAATTTTTAACAATCATAAAACCCCCCTGTAGTTTCATTTTAGCAAAAACCTCCTATTTTCAAAAAAAAAAAAAAAACTACAAGACCTCATTTCTGTCAATGACCAAGAAGAAAAACATTAAACCGATGATAACATTTTTCAAAATACCTATTTTACCCCTTTACGAGTTATTGTACACCTATTTTTATTAAAATACCCTTTGCCCACTCTTGTTATCCTAATTTCATCTTTTACGCAATCTAAAGAGGAGCAAGGGTAAGGAATGAACGAGGAAGAATGATTCCAGGAAGAATTGCAACCCTTTGCCCACTTTTGCCAACTGAAGAATAGCAACTAAAGAGGAAAGAACTAGGATGAGGGGCAACTAGAGAGGAACGACAAACCCATAAAGAACAATTTCAATCACACTGGAGAGGAACGAACAGATGAACGACGAACCCAAGAAGAACAATTTCAGTCCCACTGTAGAGGAGCGACGAACCTAGAATATCCCAATATTTCAAAACTCTAATTTTGATAGGGAAGTCTGGTCATTTATTCCAACTTGGCTTCTAATCAGTTCAAAGGAGCAAATAAGTCCAGTGGTTATGTAATCGAACATTTGTAGTTTATTCCAAAGCTCATCAAATGATACTACCAAGTTAAATGTTGATTAAAATACCAATAATTTGTAAATTTTATTATCACAAATATCAAAAAAAAAAAATCAGTGATAACCAACAATGTATTCTTATGCTATGTATCATGTTCTCCTCCAATGGCTGACATTAGATCTTTAACTCACTATGGTGAGCCTTATGATGTAAACACTCGATACTTCAGGAGCACATTGTTTGTTGTTGTAGTGAGAGCCTGTTGTCCAGAATCTTCTCTGCTCCATGGTGTTTACTGGATGCCACCAAAGTTGCCTATGGAGTAGTGCCTGATGCATCTTGACCTTTGGCTATTGCATGTTCTTCAGTGTTTTCAAGTTTGGATTTTTTTCTTCTATTTGTTTCCATATGACTATGAGATTGCAGAAGCCCAAAACCCAAAGCTTGTGGTCATGCCCTTTAGGCTAGTAATCCATGTAAATAAGATGCTTGAAATCCGTTTCTATTACTTATCACGGAAAAAGATATGGCAATCTCTCAAACAAGATGATCTTTAATTAGATAACTACAAACTAAATGAAAGGGATAAAGTCACATATGCCATAAAGTGAAAAAAAAACGAACTCCAGTGAAGAAATTGACCAACAAGATGAAGCACGGTCGTCGTCCGGTGAAGAATCATTGCCGGAAGATGTACGGAATATTCCGAGAAGTGGTATACTTTGAGTACTATGGATGCTTGCAACTATCAGGGTTAGGGTTTGAGTGTTTTCTCAAAAGCACAAGGAGTGTAGTGAGTTGCTTGAGTAAGGGCAATAATGGTATTTTGCAAATGGCTCAGATGATGTCTAAGGGTAAAAATGTAATTCTATACACTTTCCGTCTTGATCATTGACGGACGAAAGGGAGGTTTTTGTTGATTTGTTTGAAAATAGAAGGGAAGTTGTTGCTAAAGTAAAACTATAGGGGAGGTTTTTATGATTGTTAGAAACTTCAAGGGAGATTTTTGTATTTTACCCTAAATTTTATATATTAAATAAATATATGATATAATTGAATTCATAATTAATTGGATCAAATGGAATTAAATACAAATCTGATCTAATTACGTAAACACATCATCCAAATTCACGATAATTAGATCAAATGTCTAATCGGACTATGGAGTTTCAAGTATCATAATAGTCCTAAATAGAAAGATGTAAGCTTCATAAACATAAGAACAAGGTTTAAAATTTCGATACTGAAAAACAGATATGAGATACGCATGGAAATTGGGCTTCTTGTCTTTTTTCATGCGTATCAGATTGTATCGGGGCGTATCTATAGTGTATTGATAAAAAAGATACTGCCAAAAACTAAAAAAAGGGGAAAACAACCTTCTTTTTCCTAAAATAAGCCTTCTTTTGCCCCCAAATGACTTTAAAACTCCAACCTCATTCCTATAATGCTAAATTTGCAAAAATTTGCAAACAACAAGTGTGAATCGTTAATTTTTTTGAAGATATTTAGGGAAAATATAAATTAACAAAAAAATTTGAAAACTAAATATGTTTTAGATCTACGGATTTATTTATCATATCCATAGAACAATTGAACTTTCTTCTTTATTATTTTTAACTTTTATATTTTTAAAATTAAAAAATAATTAATAATTAATTATATTTTTTTCATTTGATCATAATAATTGAATATATTATAATTCTATGGATGATCCATCATATCCACAGACCAATTGAAATTTATTCTTTAATAATTTTTTTTTATTTTTATATTTTTAGAATTAAAAAATAAATAATTAATTAATTATATTTTATCACTTAATCACAATGATTGAATATATTATAATTATATGGATCATCTATCATATCCACAAAGAAATTGAAATTTATTCTTTAATAACTATTTTTGAATGTATTATATAATGTTTATTTATTTATTTTTTAATTTTTTGAAATAAATAATAAATAATTATTAATTATATTTTCACTTAGAAGTTGTACCAATGCATGCTTTATGGTTGGATAGGAGAGTTGGTTTTTTTTTCATCCCACAAAACATTAAAACTTATGAATTATAATTTATAAATTATAGTTAAGCATAGGATTTTTAATAAAATTATAATTAACTACAATATATTTCTTTATAAAACCATTAAAATATATTAATTTAATGTACATACACCTCATTGAGGTCTTATATTTAGTGTTATTGATGCATTTTTACGATTTATTAAACTATTTATAGTGTATCCAAGCGTATCTTAGTTTTTCTCCGATGCTCATGCATATCTAAGATGTATCCCAATATGTCTTTTAAAATTGTCTTTCCAATACACTTGACGTTTCCGATACTTTAAACATTGCATAAAACATAAGACAATTGAACTGTTTTGATATAAAAAGATTTTACAAGCGGTATATATACTTGACCCAGGTGCACCTCTAATGTACATCCAATTGGAACTAAACCTATACACGGGCTGGGCTAAGCTGAGTTTAGGTCAGGCCTTGTCTCTGCATTAACATAAAAAATTCAGGCCTGAGACTAAGCCTGATCCTACCATCGGGCTTAAGTCTTGAGCCTAAGCCCAACCCTCATATAAAGCCCAAAGCCCGGCCAAATATTTGGGAAAAAGATTTTCCCTTCTTTTATTCAATAAAAAACAGTTTTAAAACACACACACATATAAATATATATATATTAAAAAAACCCGAACCTGCGGGCCTAATTTCATTCAATCATTTCGAAGCCCGAGTTAGCCCATCGGGCTGCCCAGCCCATAAGCAGATCTATTGAAACCTTGAAGGTGAAATTAGCACGGAAGGGTGCGAACCGTGCAGTCATGGGTTCGGATCCAAAAATATGCAATGCCCGAATCAATAACTCTAGATGATATTCTCGTACAATTCGTGAGTCGTGACATCTTAACAAAACGCAGGATGAATACCCACGTATCCCGTGACAGGTCCCAATGGCAATCAAAGCCGAGATGCTTTGTATGGCAGTATAGCACCCCTTGACATTCTCTTTTCTCTCCCTTGCGAGTTGCGACGGGACTGCTTGTGGTTTTAATTTTTATCAATTAGCAAGTTGAAAAATATTCGAACTGTATGGTATAAGATGCACATTAAAAAAAAAAAGATGCACATTAAATGGGCGAACCGCACAAGAAGTGTGGACGACATTCAAAGTCAACACGACTGTATAACTGTATTGCATAATTCGTCAACAAATAGCCCAAACAACGCCAGGTGCCTACCATCAGGAGTTTTTCTTTTTTTCTTTTCCTTTTTTAATTTACGCCCATCCAAAGTCAAAAGACACTTTCAGTCTTTCACACGCAGACATGAGACACCGTCGTCTCAACACGCTCAGCGCCAGGAACTAAAGAACGCAGAGACTCCAAAAAGTCACAAGCTCCAAACTAGGAACCATGAAAATGAAAATAATTCTAACAAAAAAATACGAAGTATTTTTTTTTAATTTTATAAATATATAACTCAAATTACAATGGGATGGATGATACAAAAAGAGAAATCGCTATGGTATCATTAGGACCATGGTTAACCCCCTAGGTTGTAATCGTAGGATCCAGAACTTCAAGTGCGCGACGATAGATAATCCAGATCCAACGACGATCTCATTAAGGGTTTACCATGGTCCCACAGAACATGCTAGCAACTGTCAGAAAGAATTACGCAACTCAATCGATCGCTGCCATCTGATAATAAACCCAAAAAGACGCGCATACACCGACGCGATCTCATACACCAAAGTCCAAACCAAAGCGTAATGCAATTGCAAAAATGCAATCCAGTCTATCCAGTAATAGTAAGCTGTATTCTTTTCACTCATCCTCCTCTCCGTTTAGAGTCTCACAGGAACAAACCCTAGAGATGAAAACGAGAGCCCCTGATAATAAAACAGACAAGCCGAAATCCCGAAAGCAGAGATGAAAACCCTAGGAAAAGGAAGCCAGCGAATCCCAAGGCAATCGATATATCAGACTGAACACAAAACGAGCTTGTGGCCGTACACGTGTCTCCTCCTCTCAAGGTCCGGGACAATGCCGTTCCCGCTGCGTCCGCCGACAGTAGCAGGTAAGCGAAAACCTACGCAACCGCGAGCAAAGTTCAAACCCACACGCAACGGAAAATTTGTGTGAGAAAAGGATAAGAAATAACAGAGAAAGAGGGCCCAATGTACAATGACACAATCCCCTCCCAAAGCCCAAGCGAAGGAGATAAAAACAGGAAGGAAAAGCGAAATTAGGAAAAAGTCACTCACTTGATCGTGACCGAAATCAAACCAGACCTGCACGGTCTCCGGCAACACGGTGGTTCCTTTCAAAATCTCCCAAACTGAAGCTCCCATTTCGGCCAAGGAATACAGAGCCACGATTGCATTTGCAGCAAAAACAAATCTACAACAACAACGAAAATACTGCTTATCTGTTAGCTCATTCAAAAGCAAATGCGAGAGACGGAGAGAGCATCGGGGCAATGGGGATGGCGGGGGTACCTAAATGCGTCGAAAACGTGCCAATTAGGGGAATTGGAGCCATGAGAATTAGTGACCATAAAAACCGCAGAGGCAAGAGAGAAGCAAAAAGAGGCAAGACGGAATACAAGTATCAGCGTGTTGAAGCGTCGGAGCTTTTGTTCGGACACGGTGGAATGGAAAGGAGGAGCCAGGATTCGAGGCGGGGTTTCGCCGTTTCGGAGTGATTGTGGAGATCGCATCGTTGTTCCTTCCTGCTGTTGTGGTCGTTGTAGACAGGTAGAATAGAAGGACTGAGAGAAGGATAAGTCATGAGAGTTGGAGAGAGAACCCAGAAAAAAGGGTTTTTTTTTTCTTCCTCTCTCTCTCTCTCTCTCAGTCTCCTATCTCCCTGTACTATTTCTCTTTTCCTTCCTTTTCTTTAATTCTCAAGAAAATAATTTTATGGGGCAGGTTTTGGTTAGAGTCACGGGGATGGCAAGGTTGCACACGAGAGAGACAGAGAGATGAAAAAGGAAAGAGAAAAGGAGACGGAGAAAAAAGTGGGCATAGAAAAGAAAACCAGAAAAAGGAGAAACTCCTTACATACAACTGAACATACCGAATTTTGCCCAGAAAACTTAAGACGACAAGGGAGCATTCAGCATTCAACAGGAGAGAGCGAGCCAGTGAGATGGAGTGAAACCTTTTTTTCCTTTTTTTCCTTTCTTTCTTTTATTTTTTCCCTTTCTCCTTCTTTATTATTTCTTTACTCCTCCCTCTTTCTTGCTGGCTGCGGCCTGCATGTTTCCTTGGCGTTGGTTGGGTGGTTGTTTGGTATGGCTTGCTCAGTTTCCTTTTTTTTTTCTTTTAATTTTTTTCCGTCCTCTTTTGTGTGCTTTTATTCTCTCTTTAGTCTTTCCGGTGAGGAAGGATAGAAGGTACTAGCCTAAGGCTAAGGCCTGGGGACTGGGGAGGAAACGGGAAGCAGGGACATCAAGTATCTTTTTGAGTATTCCCATTTTTCCTCTTTTTTTTTTTGTTTTTGCAAATTATAAATCTAAAATGACCGGAATGACCCTATCACTTCAAATTTTGAAATTGCCCCCCAGTCGGCCATTCCCCAGTTCTCACGCGTGACGCGTTCATTTTAATGGGTAATGATGTGGTGTGTTGTTTGAAGTTTGATGAAATTAAAACCTCTGGCTTTTACCATCTAACAAACAAGAAAAAAAAAGAAGAGAGTAAAATAAAACTGATCAGGTGGTTGGGATCATTGGATCAGACCGACTTTTTTTGACTCGTGACCAATACAAACCTCGTACCGTTTTAATGTACAATGCGTAATCGTCGTTGTTGAGACTTGAGAGCCTAGCAGAAGCGACAACCTCCTGTGGATATTATATATGTAGGTCTTGTAAAATACTCTCCTTTTTTTTTTATTTTGGGGCAAGCTTCGTGGAATCAGAATAGAAAAGGTGGACCTCGGAAATCCCAGTCCCCTGACTCTCTCCACAGTCAAATGCTCCATAGATTGTCATCTGCCAGGACACAAATCAAACTATACACTTATACAGTATACAAAGTTACAAATGGGCCAACAGTGGACCATGTGTATCAGTTCAATCTTCAATCTAATGCATCAATGTAATAAATTTTGGCATTGATTTTGCCACGTGTTATAAACTGGTTTAAACTTAGCGTCTATTAGTTTTTGGATTTTAAGAGTGGAAAAAGTTAATTGTTGAAATTTTAGCAAGAGCCAACCAACCGGTTGGTGACATGGGATCTAATCCCGCCTGCGTTGGGATGTAGGGATGCAAACGGATCGGATCGGTATATTTGAATCCGATCCGATGCTGTTCGTGTCAGATCTGATCCGATTGGGTCTGATAGGATTCGATTGGATTTTTGGATCTTATTTTATTTGATTTGTTTTCTTTAAAAAATAATAAATTATTGAAAGAAAAAATAAAATATATCAATTTAAATAAAAAACAAAAAATATAAGTATTTTTAATTATTTTTATCATATGTATTACATGTTTTTATAAAAAAATAAATAATATAATAAATTTATAAAAATATAATATAAATAATATATTTTATATTAAATATATATATATATATATATTTATTTATAAACATATAATACACCGGATCAGATCTTAATAGGGGATGATCCGAGTCCGATTTGAAAATCTGACCAAGGGTGATCTGAATTTGATCAAATAGGATTGGATTTCAGATCATATCGAATCATGATCCGATCCATTTGTACCCTTAGGGGAAATGTTCTTAATGCATAACAGGATGTGCCTGTGAGTTTGTTGTGAGGCGCCCTATCAGAGGAGCAGATCCCAATTCTCAAGAAGAGATTAAAAAAAAGAGAGATTTTGGTTTTTATTGAATATACCCTTATTTTTTTTAGATTTACATGAATTCCACATAAAATTTTACTTTTCTTGGATATTACTTCTAACACTTGGATGAAATAGAATTACTCCTTTTAATAATGATTTTTATAGTTAAAACTTAAAACCGTCATTATTTTATTTACTTAAAAAATAAAAAAATATGAAAAAATACAACTACTAGAAACCAGGCAAGTGAATGCAGGCCTGCAGGGAAGTGGAGCGGGAAAAAGGTCTTACCGGCAGGTTTCAACTCTCATGAAAAACCCAATTCAACACTTCTCGAATATATGCTTTTTTTCTTGCACTTTCAGTCGATCGGTAACATGTGTTTCGTTGAAATTAAACATGTGTAAGCACTAAGCAGTGTTTTTAACCCGCGGTCCGACTGGTTGATTCATCAGTCATCACCCAACTACATTTCTGGGTCCGTTTCACCCAAACTTTTTTTTTTTTTTTCATTTTTCATTTTCGGAAGCCACCCCGGAAATGTTCATCTATTAAAAATATTTGTCGACGAGGTCAACCATTTGACCCAGTCAATGGGTCATGGATTGAATATTTTTTAACCTGTAGTCTAACTGGTTGATTCATCATCCAGCTATATTTCTCGATTTCTGTCTCCGTTTCACCCAGACTGTTCACGTACCAAAAAAATGGTTCATTCGGTTAATGATTTAGTGATTTGACCGGTTAAATCGTTAGGTCCAATCTGTATCATAACTTATATATAATCCTGTTTTTCATTCCATGACCATTGACTGGGTCTAACAATTCAATTGTTTAAACAATTTTTTTTATCTAATATAATAAACATGTGATATTAAAACATCAGATATATCTAATTTTAGGGGGGTATAACTTGGACGTGCTCAGATTGAGTTTCTGTCAAAATTTAAATGGGCCCGAGCCATAAGCAGTGTAAATGTGTAATATGTTAAAATTTGGGCCAATTCGAGTTGCACCCTATCTATCGTTGTGATTAAGGTTTTAAAATCCGATCCGGAATCAGAATCACTTTGGTCACATGCTTTTAGGTTAGTGGTCTGACCATCCAGTTTGAATGGATGGTCCATCTAATTTAAAAATTAAAAAATAATTAAAGTAAAAAAAAAAGATAAAATATGTTGTTTGGGTTGAATAGATTGACAATTTGACCACCTGGATCAATGGGTTATTAACCAAGTCAATGGTTTTGGCCAAATACCAGGTTTAAGGTGAAATGAAACCGGTTGCCTAAATAGCTACCAAGCTAAATGATCCAACCATCTGGATCAATGACAGTTCAAAAACATTAGTTGAGATAGTAATATGGTTCAGATTCAGATCTATTTGAAAAACAATAGTAAACACCAATACGTGAAAAAAAACAAACATATAACACTCATAGATAGAGACTCAGACACTTCTTGTAAGACTGAATGAAAATATAGGAAAAGAGTGTAGGAGGTTTGGATTCCTTAATTATTGTTTTTTTTTCTTTCTTTTTTTTTTATATATCTTTTGAAGGCTACACAACGGGGGTAGCCTATCCCCCAACCCAGTATAGATAGGATATGATCCTAAGTCTCCACTATGACCAATAAGAGACCTTACCAACCAGCTGATTGGCACCTTGTGCTTTCTTGCTTCGTTGGAATCCACCTTTTCAAAATGGACATAAAAAACAATTTATCTGATTTAGAATAAGAACAAAAAACCGTTTGTTATCCACACGGTATCATATCCCTCCCTAGTCTATACCCAAAAGCTCATGTTTCATGTTTGTATTCAAATAACAATGCCAGTTGTAAATTAATTAGCTTTGTTTTATACTTGCAAATTTTATATGTTTTTCTCGCTAAATACAGAATTTTATATATTGCATTTTAGTCACATGTATATATATACTTTTCTTTTTTTAAAGGTCCTTAAAGGCAATTCCATTCTTGCATTAATAATTTTGCACTGTAATCAAACAAAATAAGGTAAAATTTGAAACAAAAATAAATTAAAATTTATACCAAAATCATTTGTACTATCATAATTTTGCATCAATATAAATAAATTTACATTGCAACCAAACACAGCCTAAACGGCAAAAAAGAAAGAGAAACAAAAATATACAACTAAGAATAAAATAAATGGGCAAAATTGTCATTGAAAAATCAGGAAGTAACTAATTATGTATTGCAGCTTATTGTACAAGGTAATCAGATATATTCCAAAGCTGACCTTATCAATCAAATAGGAAGCATGGTATGAAGCATGCTAATATTCTCTTAGATGCGTGTATGCTTTGCATGCACTGTCCATATGCATAATGCATCCCCTTTGATCCAATGAAGGTTATACATGAAACAGAAACTGCACAAATAAAGACACTCAGGAGCAGATTTCACGACCACTTTTGTTTGTCCAATAAATAAATTTAGAAAATAAAGAGAGTATCTAGTGCTAAACTGATCCAAGACGGCTCTCTAAATTCCAAAGAGACAGAAAAACAGGGAAAACGACCACCAAGCAAAAAGGGGGTGAAGTGGGGGAATTATTTTGTATCTCAACACCCCAAAATACACGCCTAGAAAAGGTTAGGTTTAGTTTCGGTGGCATCAAAAAATAAAAATATTCTAATCGAATCAACTTTTATTTGGATTTGTATTGAGATGAGTTCTTTTGCACAGGACTAGTGGATCTGCTACAGTGCTATTAACCAACGCTTCCAACAAGGTACTACAGCCTCGCATCGAGAACATCTCCGCGTGAATGATCTTGGTGTGCAGCTGCAGTAGCTTGTTGGCACCTGCCCTGTATCATCAACTTTAAATCCTTCTTTCTCTGAAAACTTTGTGTCTAGGCCAACCCTTCTTAATCAGAGTTCGGATCGAGCTCAGATCTGCTACCAGCAGACACTAGACACTCCCAACGTGTTCCAACCAGCCACTACAGTCGCATTTTGGCAACATCTCCCCATGAATGAAAAGGGAGATGCCCTCAATTTATGGCCGCAAACGCAATGGCTTGGCGGGATAGTGTTGACAGCGCTTCGTTGATGGCAGATCCCTACCGTTTGGATCTGCTCCTAAAAAAACATTCTTACACGCATCCAACATGATTTGCACATCCCAATGAGACTGGGACTAAATTCAAACACACCATGAGATGTGTGGTGTAACAAATCCCAACTGCTCTGATCATTGGAAAATATCAAAATAACAAAAAAAAAAAAACCTCTTCTGAAACAACACAAATAGGCTCGATACAACAAAAATCCCATATAATAAAACGAGAGCATATCTACTGCTTGTGGTCACAGCACTCTCTTATGACCCGAAATGAAAATATCAGTTGAACTTGATAGCTGTTTTACAGGCTGTACAGACAATCAATCAATATATCCCATGCCAGTAATAATGTGCATATGGCAAACAATCATACAATCTAGAACTTGTATTTATGATTGGTGTGCAGCAAAATGATTGGTCCCATCCTACTGCCTCTAAAACATCTATCAAGTTCAGCAATCCTCTCTCTTACAAACATGCCACTAAATAATATAAATTTATGTTAAATGGCATGGAAGATTAATTTGATTTCCTTTGGAACAATTTTCTATTTCATTGCTGGTGTTTTCGTGAATATAATGAAGTCATAAATGGCCTAGGGAGTTCCTTTATTCCATCAGTCTAAGGATTCCCGTGCTTGGTCCCCGGACAGGTCTTTGTGCCAATATAAATCAGAATCAGAAAGCAAGGCCACTGATAGGGGTGCGAGTTGGGCGGGTTGGGCCAGTTTTAGCTCATCCAAGGCCCAATCCTAAGAATCGGGACTAAAGATTGAGTTAGAGGTTAAACCCGAACTGTCTAACCTGAGCCCAACCTGCATTAAAATTTGATAGTCTTGGGTTGAGTTCAAGATGGATAATTAACTGATAAAACTCAGATTAGATGTTCGTATATGTTCAGATCAGAAGAAAGAGAAGGAAAAGAGAGAGAGAGAAGGAGAAGGAGAAAGAGAAGAGAAAGAAAGAGAAAAGTCACAGCCAAACTAGAGAGAAAAAAGTCTCAAAACCTCTAGTCGGCCCTTCTTTTATTTATACTCTTCTAAGATATATAAGGATTACCATTGTGCCCTCACTTAAGTGAGGGCCACATCAGCAGAGCAATACATATATAACTAAACATAAAAGGACTGTACTACCCTTGTACAACCGACTCTAACACTCCCCCTCAAGCTGGTGAATATATGTCATATAGTCCCAGCTTGTTACATATGTAGTCCACTCTTCCCCGGTTCAACCCTTTTGTAAACAGACCTGCCCATTGGTTTCATGTGTTCACATATGTACTTATCACTCCACTAAGCACCTTCTCACGTACAAAATGGCAATCCACTTCTATGTGCTTCGTCCTTTCGTGAAACACTGGATTAGAGGAGATATAAACTGCAACTTGGTTATCATAGTATAGCTTCATAGGAGTGTCAATCGAGTATCCCATCTCCTTTAGTAGATGCTTCAACAACACCAGTTCACATGTTGTGTGAGCCCTAGCCCTATATTCAGCCTTTGCATTGCTTCTTGCTACCACTGTCTGTTGCTTACTCTTCCATGTCACTAAGTTCCCACCAAGAAAAGTGCAATACCCTGTAGTGGACCTTCTGTCAGATATGGACCCGGCCCAATCAACATCCGTGCATCCCTCTATCTCAAGACTTCATCCACTCTCTTACAACAAACCACGACCTAGAGCACCCTTCAAATACCTCACAATCCTTAGGGCTGCCTCCTAGTGTGGGACTCTCGAATTTTGCATAATTTGACTCACTACACTGACCGCAAATGAGATATCAGGCCGAGTGATGGTTAGGTAATTAAGCTTACCCAATAGCTTTCAGTACCTTCCCGGATCCTCAAACTCCTCACCTGTATCACTACCCAATCTAGCATATAGTTTCATAGGTGTTTTAGCTGGTCTGGCACCTAACAACCTTGTTTCCTCCATCAAATCAAGAACATATTTCTTCTGACATAGATTAATACCATTCTTGGACCTTGCAACACTATCCCTAGGAAGTATCTTAATTTGCCAAGAATTTTTGTTTGGAAATGATCATGCAAGTAAGTCTTCAACCAGTCAATTCATGGTCTGTCACTGCCTGTGATAACAATGTCATCTACATATACCACCAAGAGAATCTTCCCAACATTTGATTCATAGTTGAATACAGAATGATCAACCTGACACTGTTTCATTCCAAACTTCTTCACCACTTCAATAAATCTCCCAAACCATGCACGTAGAGATTGTTTAAGTCCATAAATAGCCTTCTTAAGTCTATAGACCGTCTTACCCTCCCCCTGAGCAACAAACCCTGGTGGTTGCTCCATGTACACCTCTTCAAGAAGATCACCGACCAATCAAACATAGCAACAAGAGAAATTAGAACACGAACTGACCCAATTTTGGCAGCCAGAGAGAAGGTGTCTGTGTAATCAATACCATACTGCTGTGAATAACCTTTGGCAACTAACCGAGCTTTCAACCGTTCAACACTTCCATCAGGTAAGTATTTAACCATGTACACCCACTTACAACCGACCACATGCTTACCAGGAGGAAGAGTAGTAAGGTCCCACGTATGAGTACGAGTCAGGGCCGAGAGTTTTTCTTCCATTGCTTGGCACCACCTTGGAGAATTGAGGGCTTCCTGGACATCCTTGGGAACAGAGACAGAGGATAACATAGAAACAAACTGTCGATGGGAAGCCGAAATGTGAGATACAAAAACAAAATTAAAAATGGAATGGAGAGTGCAACTGCGTTTACCTTTCCGCAAAGCAATAGGAAGATCAATGTCAGAACTTGGAGTTGGGGCTGGGGTGGGATCAACTACCGGATCTGTCAATGGTGACGAAGATAGAGGAGGAGCCGATGCCTGACGATGTGTATACACTTGTCGGATAGGTGGTCCTCTCTCAGGTAGCTGCACTGGAGGCAAAGACTGGGTCACGACCAGAACAAGAGGAACGAGATCCTCAATAGGAACTGGAAGAGGGGGTGATGGCAACAGTGGAGAAGAAGTACCCGACCAGGAGACGAAAGGAACAGACTAAAAAAATGTAACATCAGAACACACAAAAGAACGTCGAGAACGAGGGTTATAATACTTATACCCTTTTTAAGTCCTGGAATAGCCAAGAAAAACACACTTAGTGGATTTAGCATCTAACTTGTCCATTCCAGGCCCAAGATTATGAACGAAACACACGCATCCAAAAACTCTAGGAGTAAGGGAAAATGAGACAATGTGGGAAACATAACATAGAAAGAGGACTAACCTTCAAGGATAGACATGGGCATGCAGTTAATAAGAAAGCAAGATGTGAGTACAACATCACTCCAAAAGGGTTTGGGGGCATTCATCTGATGTAAGAGGGATTTAGTAGTTTCCAAAATGTGACGATTTTTCCTTTCAGCCACACCATTTTGTTGAGGGGTGTAAATACATGAGGTTTGATGGATAATGTCATGTTGTTCCAAATATTCTTAAAAGTGTGTGGAAAAATACTCGTGGCCATTTTCAGAACGAAGAATTTTAATATTTACACAAATTTGATTGCAAATTTCAGTATAAAATTTCTGGAAAATAGAAAACAATTCACTCTTTTCTTTCGTAAGGTAAAGCCATGTCATCCTTGAATAATCATCAACAAAAATTATAAAGTATCTGTAACCATTATAAGACACTACTCTATTTGGACCCCAAATGTCCAAATGGACTAAAGAAAAAGGACTCGATGTACGACTATCAACTCTAAGGCTAAAGGAGACATGATGATGTTTCCTAAATTGGCACGACTCATAATTTAAGTTAGAAAGACGACGCAACGACGAAACAAGTAACTGAAGAGCTCTAAGAGACGGATAACCAAGTCTGCAGTGTCATTGATGAGGGGAGAGAGATGACTGAAGAGCTGTTGCCGAACCACCTCCATCAAAATAATACAATCCACCAGCTTCATGCCCTCCACCAATCTTTATCCCCATCTTGAGATCCTGAAGCACACAAGAGGAAGGGTAAAAAGTTATTGAGCAATTAAGAGACCGAGTCAATTTACTAATAGACATCAGGTTAAAGGAAAACTTGGGAACATATAAAACTGAAGAGAGGGATAATGAGTCAGTGTCAACATTACCAACACCACATATGGCTGATGTAGAGCCATTGGCAAGAGTAATAGATTGGGAAGTAGAGGACGGAGAAATGAATGAAAACACACCTGGAGTTCCAATCATATGATCGGAAGCTTCTAAATCTATAATCCAATGGGGAGATGTGGATGCCAGACAAGTCGTACCTGTGTTTGCAAGGGTACCTGTGTTCTGTTGAGATGTACCTTGAATGAACTGCTCATACTCATTCCGTTAAACACTCACCAACTCTTTTCTGGAAGTATCTATAGATGTAGTGGGGATTTGATCAGTGACTTGAGATTCTTGCCTTGAGCTACCACCATTTACAGCTGCATGATTCGCCCAGGTTGAAGGTGGGCCCTGGAGATCGTAGCAAAAGTTGATAGTATGTCCCTCTATACCACAATGAGTACACCTTCTCTAAGTATTACCATGTCCCCTACCACGAGCTCCCCCCAAGTTTCGTCCTCCAACACGACCACCACCACTATTATACATTCCACCACCACCACGACCATACATGGGTCCACCACCACTACCACGACCATGCTGACCTCCTCTACCACCACGACCTCTCCCTCTCGTAACTGCAAATGCAGACCTATCTGACATAGTGGAAGTCTCTATGGGTCCAACTGAAATTCTCCAAAGAGAAGCACACACTTCCTTAAGAGAGGGAAGAGCAAATCCACCTAATATTTGTGCCCTTACGGGTTCATACTCAGATTTCAACCCTACTAAAAATCTGGTCACATCCAACTGCTCTCTTTGTTGTTGTTGAATTTTGACATCAGGTGTAAGAGGATGATAAATATTCAACTCATTTCGTAAATTTCTCATACTGGCATAATAGTCCTCAAGACTCTGATTCCCTTGTTGCAGGTTGAAGTACTCTTGGTACAGTTGGTAAACCCTAGTAGTGTTATCTTGTCCAGAATATAGTTTCCTTGCATGATCCCAGACATCCTTGGTTGTATCTAAAAACAAGAATTTCACACTAATTTTAGACTCCATGCTATTCCATAGCCAAGTCATAATTTGAGCATCCTCCTGTTCCCATTCATCATATCCTAGAGAATCAATTGAGGTTTATCTTCCCTCACATGTTTCATTTTCTTTTTGGCTTTTAGGAAAACTTCAACAGACTTAGCCCAAGGGACATAATTCTCACCATTCAGTTTTATRGAGGTCATCYRYACATTCAGATAATCAGAAGGCACCATCACACTTGATTTGTATTCACTGTTGTCTCCCACGACTGCACAAAAAAACAGTGGGAGGTTGTACCACTAAATTGTTACTCTACTGCCCTAATAAATCACCACACTCCACACGAATGACTAAACACCACTAGGGTTCCTAATACCAGATTTCAGCAGTAACACTCACAACTATTCACCACTGTTTCAACAATAATATTCACAACTATTCACCACTTTTAGCAACAACACTACTATTGTCGTTTACTGTCAGCACTAGAAACCCTCACAACACACCTCAYGAATAATATTTTCAGTTCTACAACATATAAAAGAAACTTGCWACATACCACAACTTAGTTCGAACATCATGTACCTGTCGAGTAGAGGGTACAAAGTCTGCACTGTCACCATCACAAAACCAACCCTCTTCGAATTGTGAGTATAGAGTTTTCAACCAACCACACAAAACCACAACGACTGCACTCATTGGAGGCATGGAAACCCCCAAAAGGAGAAAACGACCAGTCCTTTTCTTCCTTTCTGGAAAACTCTCTAAATATCAATGAAAATTCTGCAAAACCCTAGAGAGGAATGCACAGAACAGAGAGAAAAGGAGACAACTGATCTGAACTGATTATCGTGGCTCTAATACCATGATAAAACTTAGATTAGATGTTCGTATATGTTCATGTCAGAAGAAAGAGAAGGAAAAGAGAGAGAGAGAAGGAGAAGGAGAGAGTGTAGAAAAAGAAGGAGAAAAGTCACAGCCGAACAAGAGAAAAAAATCTCAAAACCTCTAGTCAGCCCTTCTTTTATTTATACTCTTCTAAGATATATAAGGATTACCATTGTGCCCCCACTTAAGTGAGGGCCACATCAGCAGAGAATACATATATAACTAAACATAAAAAGACTGTACTACCCTTGTACAGCCGACTCTAACATTAACCCACACCAAAAATTAATTATATGCATATATGTATCACTTATTAAACAATGCTATATATATATAAACCTAGATTGGGATAATATCAGGCAGGGCTCGGGCGGAGGTAGCCTGGGTTCAGGCTACCTAAGAGTTAGGCCTAAACCCAGCCTCAAAAATAAAAAAGCGTGAGCTTTTAGGCCCGAGGACCAAAAATGTAAACCCAACGCATATAAAATTGTGGGTTGGGACAGTTTGGGCGTGGGATGGTCCCACCCACTTAGGCTGGGTTAGCCCAAACCTACATTTAAAAAAATCGGATTGGTTAAGGTTGATGTTCAGGTTGAGGTTACGTCTAACTTTTGCTAACCTGACTTAGGTTGACGATTTGATGAGCTAGACTAGCAGAAGATCAAATAATGAAATATTGTCAGTTTCTAACGTAAATCTGAAACCATTGACAATTCAGCTGTGGTGTTTTTAGGGTAGAACAATCTCCGTGAATTTTTATGAATTTTCATTGACTAGTACAAGGCGTCAAGTATTGGAGATCCAGATTTTCAAAGGGTTGTATAAAAAACACAAGAGACAAGAAAAAGCAACTTAACGATGGGGGATGCACAAAGATAGTGTATAAGAACTCTAGAAGGGACATCAAGGTTGGGTTGGACTCTTTACTTCAAGAGAGAGCGCATGTTGATAAAACTTAAGGAGTGCAAATCAAAAGAATACAAATTATCGTTTACTTTATTTTGGGTTTTACTTTCTCCAGCTTCATGTCTTATTTTATTTCGGTCATATTGCAACCAATAAAAAATTTTTATACTTTTTTTTTATTTTTTTCTGCAACCAGTTCAGGGAGCCAGTTTATGTCTCCTCCACCCCCAGAACCGGTTAGCAAGGTGGTGTATCGGACGTTTCGATACTTGTTTTTTACTTTTTTTTTTATTTTTGTTTTTTCAAAACTGGTTCAGGGGAGACGGTCTAGAACCCCTCCATCCCCTGAACCGGTCAAACCCCTAATACACCCACTGTAAAGGCATATCGAAAGGGTCCCGGAATGATACGTATCGGCCAATACGTAATGATACTTTGAACCTTACCGGTCAAACCCCAAATATACCCACTGAAAGGGCATATCGATCCCAGAACGATACTGTCGATACTTTGAACCCTGGTTGATCTCATTCTCTTATTCAGTACATTGATACATACATGAAGCATAGGAGGAAAATTAATTCTTGTTGATCGTATTCTCAAACGTGAAGGGATGGAACGGAGCTTTGCAGGCCTTGACACTTGGTTTGCCAATCCGAACTATGGGATATTAACCAATTTGTTAACAACTTAGAATGTTGACTCTGAACATGGAAAGGGAAGATTGTTCACACTTCTCAATCACTCACGTCTTGTAAGAATAAAGAAATCTATCATCGACGACATGCAAAAAAGGTAAATTCAGTATCAAACTTATTTCCGCTATGGCCTATGGGGAAAGGAAGGACGAGTACTACCTTCCGGAAACCAAACTACAAACTCATGGGGATAGCCAGTCATTCAGCACTTGACCAAACCCGTTCAAAATACAAGTTCAAGTTACATGTGCCAATAACAAGTTACTTGAACAGAAAGATGCCGGGAAGGAGAAAGACGGCTGGAAGAACTTCAATGGAAATTCTACATGAACCGGACATAATTACCAGATTATCAACCACTTCTCCGACTCAATAAAATAACGATTACCAGGCATAGACAAGTAAATAACTGGCATGGAACTGTTGGAGACATATCACAACATTTCTTGAGACCGTCTCACAATACGGCTTACTTTCTTCTTGAATTCATCCCTCCTCTCTCTCCACTCTTTCTGCAATTTGGACAGAGAAACCAACAATATTAGGACCTGAAAACTGAGAGACCAATGATGTTTTAATGTTAACAGCAAAATTAATCATTATATCTGGGGGGAATGCTAGTAAACACTGAAATGTGCACAATTTCACACTACGGACGTTGCACCTGATCTAACTTGAATTTTAAATTTACTTTCAACACCGAATAACCTAGGCTCAGTTTGGAAAGAATACAAATACAAATATATGCATTGCACATATATACAAAATAACACAATACAATTTTTTGCACTCAAACATATTTGTATTTGCACTCCTTCCAAACTGTGCTTTAAAAATACAATTGTACTGTACATATTTATCTTTGTACTCCTTTCAAGTTCCAAACTAGAAGGTTTTGCACTCTATATAAATATAAATATGTTTTGCACTCTATATTTGGAAAGAGTACAAATATAAATATGTACAGTGCAAATATATGAAAAATAATACAAAATATCAAGTTTTGCACTCTACATATTTGTATTTGTACTCCTTCCAAATTGAACCGAAGGTACAAATACAAATGCATACATTGCAAATACATACCAAATAATACAAAATACAAGATTTTATGCTCTGCATATTTATATTTGTGCTCCTTCCAAACTGACCCTAAGGCTGTGTTTGGTTGCACTGGTGCGAAATCATGGTAGCGCATATGATTTTGGTGCAATCTATGATTTAATTTTATTTCAAAATTTACCTTATGTTGTTTGTTTGCAGTACAAATGAAGTAAATAAGATCTGAAGCAGAATAAAGCAAAACTCAAAACAAAATTAAATCAGAATTTGCATTCTTTTAATTTGCCCTTCCATGCATTTGTACTATTACAAATAAAATTGCACTGCAACAAAACAAAGCCTGAAGGCTCAGTTTGGAAGAAGTACGGGTGCAAAATCTTGTATTTTGTATTATTTTGTATATATTTGCACTGTACATATTTGTATTCATACTCTTACCAAACTTGAGCCTAAAGTTTGGAAAGAGTACAAATACAAAAATATACAAAATACAAGGTTTTGTGCTCTACATGTTTGTATGTGTACTCCTTCCAAACAGAGCCTAAAGTTCAATTACATATTGCACTTCCACATCATTGTCATTTTCTAAATATTCTATCACGCTACAATCAGGAAAGAATAGCTTATAGATTTATCTTTCCATCTGAATTATTTTACTTTAAAATAATAGGTCACTAAATAAGGCTATATAGTACAGAAAGGTAACAAATGAACAGTTACAAACACCATTTAAAAGCTGACGCAAAAGGCAAACCATTTCTCCTTCAAGGTGACAGTTTTGACCCAAAGATGGAGACGAATGGCCCATTGCAAGAAGGTGATCAAGTCAGTTAAACAATCTCTCTCTCTCTCTCTCTCTGAATTTCAAAATTCAAATTAATAAAAAACAAAATATACAACCGAACCATGACCTGTTGAACCATGTAACAGTTCAATAGTATGCGTTGATGATTCTTAGACCAAGTACACAGGTTTGCAGTTTAGGGGGTGTTCAATACTATGATAGAAGCACATTCCATTCGATTCTAGAACACACCATGCAAAAAAGCTTTCTTTAAAGCCCATAGCATGTTCTGAAACGGGCTGTGATTGGTTTTGGAATGCAAAATAGTGTGGATTTTGGAACATAACAAAATCTAGTGTTCCAAAACACACCACGCCTTGGACAATCAATGAACATTGATTTCGTATACTTTGGCAACATTTATATTTCAAATCCCGATGCTTTGAAACACACCGCACCACCACTGTACATGTGGTGAGTTCCAAAGCCTACCATTTCAAACACAACAGTGAAGCCTAGTAGCCAAGAACACACCATACCTTTCGTCACACCCCCTAAACAAATTTGTGGGTGATCCGAACCACCCTTCTTTCCAAGCAATGAATTGAATGGTCTAACCATGGAGAGGCCAGCAACAACTTGAAAACACTAGTGATAAAGATGAATTATAACATTTCACTTACTGCTGCTTCAATATTTGCAGGAGATTCATCATTCGGGCTTGACAACATGGAAATGATACTCAAGACTATGCTTTCAACCTGCACCATCAAATAAATAAATTCATTTCATGTAATAGTAACACTAAAAATGGTGCAATTATGGATCATCATTGTAAACAAACACCTCTAATTCATTTCCCAGATAAAAATTATAACATGACCAGGCTAAATATATGATCAAATAATTTATTATGATTAAAGAAAATGTAACAATGAGGCAAAGGAGCTCTATGTGAGATAAGTAAAATGCGTACAACCTGCACCGCAATAAGAATATTGACTATAGTTGTTAAAATTCCCTATTTCTTTCTTAACAAGGCAGTTAATACGTTGTTAGCTGAATTAACAAGTGCTACAAGGACTTTCCAATATCTTGAAGGAGACTCCTATGTAACAATATCTTCTTTCTGTAAATTATTTTATGTAATTAACATTTTTTCGCTGCAATAACATAATGAACATCTACTTTTACTTATGCACTTTTTTCTATAGAATTCTACTATGTACCAATGATAAACTAACAGGACTTCTAAGGTATAACATCAATTCAAAATACATGATGATGCCAATGAGGTATGATATCGGGAGAGCTTTGAAGAATCAAAAACCCCCCTGTAAATTTCGATGAATACCATCTGATTAGTTACCTCTTCTATGATGACAGTTTGATTGGTTATAAGTTTTCCGGTATCATAGTCAATCCCTAGTCTAAATGGTAAATACATTTTGATACATGTTACCGGGTCCATGCTTTTTTGTCTTTCCAAGTAAAATTCCCAGACCAGACAAGTGTCAGATTCTGATTCCCAATTTCTCATATCCATGTTAAAGCAGCACCATTTTTCCTAATAAACATAGTTAAATTGCAAGTTCACTTGTTGGTTAAATTATCAAAAAACATAAATGTCAACAAGGAAAGGAAAAAAAGGAAACACATAAATCCCTTGTCATAATTAAATCCACGAGGAAAGTATAACTCATAAAATAACTTGAGAGATAATACTTAATTTACCTAATATTGTTAAATCTATAAGTTCATTTTGAATTTGACTTCCGATATTTGCAAGATGCTTAGAAAACTTACAACAAATCCCACATTTCACTAAAAAGAAATCAAGGGAAGAAGGAAAATCATCAATGGCATCATAATAGTATGCCTATAAAGTTTGTTGGTCAAACTAATAGACTATAGGGGTTCAACTAATATACCAGAAAGACATGATGTCTAAAAATTTTGTGACCAATCAACCGGTATCATAAATGTGCTAACCAAACAGGTGGAATTTATCAGAATTCATGGGTGGGTTTTGATCGGTGTTTTAAAAGCACAAGGAGCAATTTGCGCGCAAGGTGCAAGGCGCAAGGTGAGGCACACCCCTTTTTGAAGCAAGGCACAAAATACAAAAAATGGCAAAAAAATAAAAAAAAAAGATAAAATTTTAAAAAATGCCAAAAATTCAAAATATTATTTATAATATAATAAGGGCAATTTACAAAGACCCCCCTTGTAGTATGGGGTCAGTGACAAAGTCCCCCCTAAAATTTTTTGCGACAAAGACCCTCCTGAACTTTAGCCGTTAGACAAAGGCCCCTTACTGTCAGTTAATTTTGAAAAAAATTTCATCCGACTGTTTAAAGTTTTTTAAATGTCCAAACTACCCTTTTTATAATATTCATTGTCTTCTCGATTGAACCTCAAAACTAACCTCAAGCACTCTCACACTGCCCCAAACCCGACCATCGCCAGCCAATAGTGGCAAGAGCTGTGCCATTCCGGGCCTCTCAGTTCACTCCCAGAGAACATAACAGTCTTCGGCAATCCCATTCCGTCAGAAACCTGTACGACCCATCTGGTGTTCTTTGGGAGTGAACTGAGAGGCCCTGATATGGCTGGATTGGTGGTGGGCCATGACTGGGTCTGGGTGTCCGTATGGCCAGAGAGAACCCAAGCATCTCTAGCATGAAAACAGAAGATCTACTATTGGAGGAGAATACTCCCCAAGAAACAGAAGACCATTGTCGTAGCCTTGGTCTTCAGGTTGCTTCGGGTGTGTGTAGTGAGCTTGAGAATGTCAAGAAGGCAGTAGTATTGGATGCAGATAATATAACAGGAACAGTGACCAAACTCGGACATATGCTGATCAAGACCAAGGAGTTCTTGAACACAAATGAAGAGTTCAGAAGAGGACAATGGATTTCACCGCACACTCAAGAGTTTTGTAGAGCACACAGAGAAGGACATCACACACTTGCTGGAGGAAGAAAAAAGGATTAAGACATTGGTGAAAAGCACTACTAATTACTTTCATGGGCATGCGGGCAAGGATGAAGGCTTACGCTTGTTTGTGATTGTCCAGGATTTCCTGATTATATTGGAGAAGGTGTATAAAGAGGTGAAAGAATCACCAAAAATGCCAACAAAGACACCATCAAATAAGGAGGCTGGCAAATGTGCAATCTTCTTCTGATTCCGGTCAACCGCCTGCTCCACCAGAACCACCACCTAAGCGGCCTTCAACATCAAGACGGAAGGATAATTCCAGTTCTGATGAAGAAACTTAATTTCGTTAGTTTTATTTTTTAATTGGCAGGAGGAGTGGTGTGTATTTGCATTTCTTTTGCTTATTAGAAAGCATATTGACTACCTTTTTTTACACATAGAAGACTCAGACTGTATTTTGTAAGAATTTCAAGACTTGCTCAAATCATCAAGTATATATTCTAGGTGATCATCATCTTTAGGAAGCATACATGTTTGGCGACACGGATGACAGTGGATCTAGGCCCCAATAACTTGTCTGTTTCTTTGGTAGGTACTCTTCTGTTTTATGCCGAGATACGGAAGTCACTGTTTCCGGAACTTTGTAGAGTGCTCAGGCTACAGAGGAAGACCAGCAATCAAAACAAACAAAATCACTCTGGAGGACCAGATAACCATTCTAGGTTAAATAGGTTTTAAGAGAAAAAGGGTAAGAAAAAGAAAACAGAAAAAGTTTAGTGGAGTATTTTGGTAATTTAACATTTTCCATTTAACGGCCAAGGGGGTCTTTGTCTAACAGCTAAAGTTCAGGGGGGTTTTGTTGCAAAAAAAAAAAGTACAGGGGGGACTTTGTCACTGACCCCATAGTACAAGGGGGGTCTTTGTAATTTACCCTATAAATAAAAATATAAACTTTAATTTCAAAATAAATATTTAAAAAAATATCAAAAATTAAAATACATAAACATAACATGTAAAGCATATTCAAATGAAAATATAAAAATAAAATCAAACATATAAAACATTTTCAAGCATGTAAAGCCCACAATTTCTTTTTTCTTTCCTTGATGTAAAACATCTTGCATTCTTGATTCTACAAGCCGCCTTTGTACCAAGCGCCACGAAGCAAGCCCAAATAAATCCATATTAGGGTCTTAAATTCTTAATCCTTACACTATGAGAACCCCCTATTTACTAGTGTTGTTCATTCATTCATCTTAGTAAAATATCTTCTTAAAAGACAATTAACATTATAAAATCATTTATTTTTGTGCAAGGATTAAGAATTTAAGACCCTAACATGGATTTGTTTGGACTTGCCTCAAGCGCCTCAAGCACACCTTTTAAATCATTGGTTTTGATTGGTCAAAACTCTTCTGGTAGCATGTTTTTCTGGCATCATAGATTTTCCCCAACTATAGAAAGTGAGCTGGAAATAAAAGATTGTCTATATAGTCTTATTGGAATTTATTGTAGGGTATTTTTCATATTTATTCCTTTTTCTTTTTTATTATGATGTTCTGATAGGTCGACCCAACCATATCAATTTCCTTCTAATCCTAGTGATTTTCAATAGACAATCTGAGTTCCATAACATTATCTCTATAACCCTGGCTCAAGGAGAAAAATATCTTCTAAATATCTTCTACTGAATAAACTATATCCATAAAATCCATCCTCTATAGCTAGAAAGCCAAGTTTTCAATACGAGGCAAAATGTTATGGGAGTTTCTACCAAAACGGGTATATAAATTCAAAACAGAAGTGCAGAATGAATGTGATACCTAGGAATGATGACTTTTGGAGCGCCACTGAAACAGTCTCATGTATGACTAGATCCATACATACAGATCACAGAGATAACAGAAAACAGAGAACCCTTAACTCGTGGAAAATGGTCCTTAGAATAATGGTTATTAGTTACCTATTAACCCCTTCACAGCCCAGTATATCTGCAAACTCACTAGCTTCCAGATGAACTGATGCTATGATGCAGGGACAGAAGCATTGAAAAAACCATGAAGAAGAAATCAAGATTCTTCTTATTCTTGAACTGATGGAAATTTTGTAATTATTGAGTCATTCGAATTTTAGTACTTTTTTTGAGTCTTCATATTTATTCTTTAGTTTATTAGTGCCTTCTAAACAGGATTAGTCATTTTAAGGGGTCAATTTAGTTTATAGTCATTAGAGAATATTTGAAATATTGAAAAATTGAAAATGCAGTTAAGTAAATTTCTCTTAGTCATATTTTCCTGGGTATAAACTTGTCTATTTTGCTTGATTTTGGTGTCATTAGACAAGTAAATAAGTTATCTATCCAAAAAGACTAAAATCTTGCAAATCCAACATGCCTTGAGAGAACTATGGTCACTTTGCAAGTCCAAAAAGACTAAATTCTTCAAATTTTTTTCCTTTTGGTTTCTTTGCAGTGGGATAAGTGCAGTGTTGGTAGAGTTATTTTATAAGTTGAGAATCCCTATGAGTGTCCTTGTGGGTTGCCTATTCATTTGCCTATCGGCCTCCCAATTGAAATTAGTGTTATGTAGTTGTTGAAGTGTCTAGGTGATTGTAGGCAATAGTGGAGTACATAGGTGTTGCCTGGGTGACAGGAATTTTATAAATAACAAATTAAATTTTATGTCAGTTCCTTAGTTTTACATAACAATCAGCATGTATATTAATTGAAAAATAGCAATTGTCTTTATTAAGAACATTAAGTTTCTTCTTGAAACATAGCAAATCACAATATGTAAAAAAATAATAGTATTTTAAATATGTTACTTTCAATACTTTCAGAAAGAAAGTTAATATAATTATATTTAATAGAACAATTTTACATCAACTTAGCAATTAAAGAATGACATGATTTTACATAATAAAAATTTAAGATAGTAAGTGGATCTGCTGTTTTAACATCAAAGTGGGACTAGAAAAATCAAAGAAAAATAGAATGCTTAAAAAGAAACCTGTACATCGGTTTGTGTCCTATTCTCAGTTGTCCGGGATAAGTTGGGACCTGGGACTTACAGAGCTTGAACTGGCAACTTTGCTCTTGCAAGTCTTTGATTCTGTTTTTCTGGATTTTTCTAAACCTGATGGTCGTATTTGGACTCAACACCCTAGGGGTTTGTTTTCCTGTGCTTTTCTTCTCTTGCTTGTTCAGGCCCCATTTCATTCCCCTTCTCTGTTAAAAGAATTCTGGTCCAAACCTCTCCCTCCCATGGTTGGGGCTTTCTGTTGGGAAGTCTTTCTTCGAAAAATAAACACGTTAGACACCTTGCAAAAAAGAAGACCTATCTTGTGCCTTTCCCCAAACTGGTGTATCCTTTGCAAAGACTGTGGTGGAAGCTTTTACCACCTCCTAATTTCTAGCCCTTTTGTTGTAGGCCTCTGGGAAAAGGTTTTTGATCTTTTTGGTCATAGGTGGGTTGTGCCTCTGCAGATTGGAAACCTCTTTGACTCCACGACATTCAGTTGGCCAAAGAAGAGAGGTAAAGTCATGTGGAGATGCATTAGAGCTGGCTGTGATATGGACGGTGTGGGAGGAGAGAAATGGTAGTCTTCAGTGACAGAGAAAGGAGTATTGAGGCAGTTTGGGAGTGTATTTTTAATAGAGCTATACATTGGGTTAAAGCCCCAAATTTGTTCTCAGATTTCTCTGTTGATGACTTGTGGAGAAAATGGGGAGCTGTTGCTAGAAGTTCTACTGCAAGGAACAGACCAGTGGTAGCTTGGGAACCTCCTGATGAAGGCTTTATTAAGTTGAACTTTGATGGCAGCAGCCTAAGGAACCCAGGTCCAGCTGGTGTAGGAGGGGTTTTTAGGAATAATGAAGGACAAATTGTTGCTGTATTCTCAGGCCCAGTTGGAATAGGGGACTCAGTTTTTGCAGAATTCCAAGCAGTCTTGCAAGGAGTACAGATTGCGAGACAGATAAATTTTGATAATAGACTGCTCATTGAATGTGACTCTAAATTGATAATAGGGTGGCTGAAGGAACCAGAAAAAGTGAGTTGGAAGTACAATGAATCTATGAAAAAGTTCAAATGGCTAGTTAGAGACATGACAGTTCTTGTGAAATGGGAAAGGCGGTCTGCAAATGGAATGGCTGATCATTTTGCGAAGATGGGGGTGTTTAAGTCTGAACTGTTCTTGGCTCAGTTGTAATTTGGGCCTTTGTATGGGGTCACACCATGCATCCCTATTGGATAGTTTGTCTTCTAAATCTTGATGTACTCCTTCTTTTTTAATAAAACCTATCATTTATCAAAAAAAAAATCAAAGAAAAATAGAAGCCTTTTTTATCTTTCCCTTATTTCTTTCTTCTATTCTCAAAACCTATGGATCTTTGAAATTTCAATAGTAAAACTTTATAACAAAGCATAACTGGTACATATATACATGTATAGCATCTAATAGGATGCATTTATACATACTAATAAGATGCAGCTATGGTAATGGTATTAAAAAAGCACCTGCCTTGTGGTTTTTGTTGTATAGGCAGGTGTCTAGTCACCTAGGCAATGACTTGAAGGTAGATCCATGCCCTTATGATTAGTCTATGAAAAGAGCCATTGTACTTGAATAATGGTTTGTTTTTAAGTTAAATTCAGGTACTATCGTACTAGTGTGATCTTCTCTTTCTCTTTTTATTGTATAATTCTGAATCTCGTAATTCCGGTCATTAGTTTTTCTCTTCTTGTCACCATGTTCACCATCTGAAGAAGCAATTCAGATAGGTTCCAAGGATTTTGCTTCTTTTATTTGGTGCCTTAGGACCCAAGGGACCTCACTGTCTGAGCTTGCATTAAATCAGTCTTGTTGATCAAAAATATCTATTGGTGGATGGGTTGGACAGATGGTGCAGGGGGAATATCATTTATGGTACCAGGTTAAGTAAATCAACGAGGAAATAGAAGAAAACGATGCACTTTTTCCAAGTCCATATGCACATCTTAGTGACATCAGGAAATATAGCTATTTACCAAAACAAAAGCTGATAAATGCATTAGGTTTACATGATAAATCCATACCGTGTGGACAGGTGACCAACGTTCACTGGCAAGCTCATATCCATTGGGGTCTTCCCCAGGAGCATGAAGGATTGAAATACAAACACGCCCATCAGGATAAACTATGGTTCACAAAGGGAAAAAAAATCACTTTTTAAGTAGAATTAATGTAAATGAGCAGAAGTCCACCTAAAAGATAAAAACTAACCATTTGGATGCCACATCTCAGAAACAAACCTCACTGTTGGAGGACTGTTCGGGTAATTAGATGGAAAACTCATAATGGCATTGAAATAACCTCCATCACTGCAATAAGATGATGTGTAAATTTTCAAAAATATCATTGCTGAATAAAAACAGCACATAATTGCATGTCCACTAATTGCAAAACGTCACAGCCAGTTATCAATATATTGTGATTATGCCATAAACTGAACCCCAAGGGTTCCTATACAATTTCACCATAAAATCCTTCTCTAAAACATGTTAATTATTGTTTGAACTTTGAATTTTAAGGTTCAATTCATGAATCTCAAGAAATGTGATTTGAAACAAATAATCAAGTAACCTTATAGTTTATGATAATATTCATAGACCAATTTGATTCAACATTTTTTGTCTACTTGCGAATTGCGATATGATTATAATTCTCGGAACATTTGGGTCATGTTTGAAATACAATTCCTTGGTAGCCCCTTCCCTCAAAGATAATGAGAAGCAAGCAGAGAGGTATGTGTGTAGGAGAAGGTAGCAAGAGGTAAGAAAGGTACCGTGCCTTTAGAGTAGCATAAAATTCTAGAAAAGCAACATAAAGCAGGAAAGAAACAGTCCCTCCACAAAAAATAAATAAATAAATAAATAAAATAAAAACACAAAAATTTAGTGAGCAAAGCCCAGGTATCTCATAAACACGAGAATGCAATTCATTCATTCACACGTTAATAGCAAGACTCGAACAATTCTCACCAAATAACAAAACTAAACCAAACACCTTCAAGGCTAAAGCAAATCAAATATGAACATCCTTTTAGTTAAGATTTGAAAACTGAATATACAAAAGAAGCAAACCTGAAAACCGAAGAACCATAGAAAAACGAAAGATAAGCTCAATAAAGGAAGGAAATTTTAGTAACCCTACACGTGTAGGAAATTTAAGAACTTTGTCATCCAGAAATGAGCATGAACCCTAGATCAGGCTAAAAGCTGAGAAACCTACATCAGAGCATAAGAGCAGCTGGAATTATAAAGAAACCGGTTAAATCAACCGGCGTAGGACAGGTCCCGTATATCTCAAGCCCCTTCATCCACCAATCAAAGCAAACAAGAAGAGAAGAGTAATCACCAACCACCGGAAACAAACAACCGAGAAATGAATCAAGCATGCAAAAGGAGGAGAAAAGTAACTCATTCTTTAAACTAATAGATACAAGGTTGCTTACTAAAGGGTATCAGGAGGCCCGATAATTGTAACGCTCCATTCGAATATATTACTGTCATCTACCAAACCGGCAGAGAAGCCATCGACCGGATTTTTACAAAGATCTGCACGGACAAAAAAGGAAAAAAATATTCGCATGTCTCGGATGAAAACAAAACCCTAGAAAATGATTGAAGAATCTTCATAGAAATAGAAACCATAAATGTAAGAATTCGATCCAAACCTTTCAACTGTTTGTGAAGCAAAAGGCTTGCTTGAGTCGCTGCAGCCATCAGTGATGAAGGATAGAGGATAGATATGGAACTAGAACGAGAGAGAGAGAGAGAGAGAGAGAGAGAGAGACTGCTCTGACTTGAAAGCGTTTTGGAGGGGGGATCGAATGCTGTGCGAGCGAAGAGGAGGAACATAGACCGCCGTATTGCTTTTATAAGCCGACACACTTCTATTTATAGAGAGAGAAGAGTAGAGAAAACAACTTGCTCTGTTTACGCCTGCTTTTGTGTAATTTCAAGATTTACGAAACGAAACAGACGACATGGTGAGGGGAGAGAGAGAGAGAGAGAGAGGGAGAGAAGAGGAATTCCAATCGCTTTGATCCGAATCTGGAATTCTGGATTTGATCCAAAGGTCTCCACTGTGCCTACGCGTCTGATGCCGAGTGTTGTACGTCTACCACCACCACCACCACTTTTCTTTTCCTTATTTTATTATATTCTTCCCAATTTGCCCCTGGAAGGCGCAACCTTACATACACACGTTCTTGATTGCGGGAAGACGAGATGTTTTAAACAGGTAGACCCGAATTCGCAACCTTACATACACACGTTCAGATCACAGTACGTTTTCCTCTTGTGATCTGAAAATGCATATAAAATGGGTTGAGTAGAGTATGGATAACCAAACAGACCCAGACCATTCCGCATTAGAGTGTGGAATGGATCCTGATTCATTGGAGGTTCTCGGTTCTCCTGATCCGAACCGTTTGAATGCCCTTCTTCCCAAAATTGGCCTCTCATTCAACAAAAGATGAAGAAGATGGGCCACCCAGAGATCCTCGAGGACGCATCTGACTCGAATCGGAACAATTATTCCTACTTGTTTTCAAATCTATCGTATTTCTTTACCTACTTGACAAGATGGGCCACCCGGTTTTCTATTTTGGGGCTTGAACTGATGGCTGGCTTTAATCGTATGAGAGAGAGAGTATTCGTCATCAGGCTTGACTGACTCCCTTAAAAAGAGGGGAAATGGGGAATCACTCTCTTTTTCTTTTTCTTTAATGGTGTGGAAGGAAAGGACCTGTATGGTATATTATTTTCTTAGTTGGAGCCATTGTCTCTCCGAACCGCCCAATATTTTTTGCTTATTTGGTCAGAATACCAGTCCAATAACTTGGTCTACCTAAGAAGGAGAATACTCTTTAGGTCAAAATGATGATCCTAAACATCGATTTCTTAAATATATTTCTTTCTTGTCCTTTTTTATTTTTTTTAATTTTCTTTTTGGTGCTATTTTGGCAACCGCACATCCCTTTCTTATAAACATAGTAGTCTCCACAAACTACAGAGATATCATTATTTATAAATTCATAAGAATTATTATATAGAAACAATTTTGTCATTAAAGTTTTTCATTGATTCTTTTCTTGTTACCAGTTTCGAAAATAAATCAATATCTGGTGGTTTGGAAATAATTTGTTTTTTCAAAACAAAACAAAAAAAATATATATATGTTTATGATTGTATGTATTTTTGTTTTCAAAACTGAAACAAAAAAAAAAAACATTTCTTGAGTTTACGGTTCCAAATTTTGTTTTTATCCTGTTATTTAATATTGTGTCTCATAAATTATATAATTTCTACGTTATAAAATTTGTTCTTGTTTTAAAAACCACTAGTTCAATGATTCAAAAAAACATGTATTATTTTTTTTCTTAAACAAAATCAAATTGTTTCTGCCGTTCGAAAACGAAAACAAAGTTTAAGACAATTTTTTTTATTTTACATTTTTTGAGAAAATAAAAAAGGGACTATAATCAATAAAGACAATTTTTGCGTTCTAATATCAATAAAAATAATATTTTTAATATAATTTTTAAAATAGATTAATTTCAAAAATTATATTAAATAAAAAAAAATACTGTTCATCTTCTTATTCTTGCAAACAATTCATCAGTACCGCCACCCGCCATTGCCTCCGGTGACCTCTGGCAACGCCATCCCCTACGGCCGTTGCCTTCGCCCACCTCGGACAATACACTCAAAAGCCAGGAATTCATAAAGATCATGACTAGATCCCCATAGCCGGACAATACACTCAAAATACAAGCTTTCTAACGGACAGAAGCCAGGAATTCATAAAAATCATTTATTGATTCAACAGTAACATCGAGGAGAAAAAGAAAAAGGAAAGAAAAGAAAAAAGAGAAAATTAGCGCTGAATGAAGCTGAATTGGATTATTGCCGGCAATCTACGTACAGAGGTGAAACCTGACAATGATTCCCTGTCGAAACCTCAACCGGAACTTGGGGACCACATTCCTTGGTAGCATGCTTCGAGGGCATCTACAGCTTTAAATCCTTGTAAAACTTTTCGATAAACTCCTCAGCTGCCTTCTCAACATGGCTGTCCTCGTCAGTGGATCTTAACGGGAATGGCGAGTCCGTTATCCGCAACTGCCGTACCATGGGGCTCTTCCCGAACCCCGGCAGATTTACCAACGGAGACGGCTCCAAAATAACGTCATTGCTCAACATCTCTAACATCTTCTGCACCGCTTTAATGGTTGCTGCGTCGTCTTGATGATGCTGGTGAGAATGGGAGGTGTAGGAATGATGGTTCTTGCGCTTGTTGACGTGAAACCGGAAGTAAGAGGGGTAGGCTGGTCTGTTGCTGCAGCTAAACTCGTACTCACGAGGAGCGACGAACGACATTTGTATGTAGTTCGACCTGCAACTGGAGTTGGAGTGGTGATGAAACATCAGGTTGTAATAGGAAAGTGAGTAATATCCCACGAATTAGGAAGGTGTATAATAGGAAATTACAATTAAGAAAGTGTATATCTTCTGAATTAGGAAGGTGTATAATATCTTGTTAGATAGGAAGGTATATATTATCTTGCTAGACTTTTCTTTTTCCTTTATTTTCTTTTTCTTTTACTTACTATTTTCTGTCCACAACTTGTATATATATTGTGGCCTTCAGCCCCTCTTGTACATGTCTTTTATGAGAAAGAATTTCTTCTTTGTTCTTCTCCTTCTCTGAATTATGGTCTTATGGTTTTCTCGATTGTTTCTTAGTTATTATCCCCTTCGTGGTTTTCTTATGGTATCAGAGTTGTGGTGAATTTCACCATTGATTCATTCAAAAGGTGTGTGCCCATCGAAGAAGAGGAGTCGTGTGACTCGTAACAGTGAGGTTCGGTGTGTGCCGAACCACTCCTTCAATCCAACCGTATTTTGGGTAACCTCATATCTGAAGCAATGACTGGGAGCAGCTCATCCACCTCTTTCAAAATTCCATCAATCAGTGATCCAACGTTTATATATTATCTGAGCTCGTCTGATAGTCCAGGTATGCTTCTAAGCCAAATCATTCTTAATTGAGAGAACTATCATATTTGGGAAAGGGCTTTTCAAAGAGCTCTAAAATCTAAAAACAAATTGAGTTTCATTAATGGGACTCTAGAGAAAGACAAGGCGGATGACATTGACAAAAATACTTGGGTAAATGCAATGCTATGGTTGTTTCATGGATCTTCAATTGTGTCGACAAAAGCATACAAAATACTATAATTTCCTTTGATGATGCTAAAGAGTTATGGATTACTATGCTAAACTAAAGGGGAATTAAATTGAAAGGGGAATTAAATGAATTCAGGCAAGAATCACTGAGTGTCACAGATTACCATGCTAAACTAAAGGGAATATGAGATCAATTAGATCAGTACACTAAAACCAACACTTGTGTATGTGGATCGACGTGCAAAACGTTGATCAATATATTGGAAGAAAGAGAGAATGAAAAGGTCTATAAATTTTTAATGGGCCTTGATAATCGTTATGGTATTGTTAGATCAAACATTATAAGCATGGACCCACTGCCCTCACTCACTCGCTGCTTTGCCATGATATCAAGAGAAGAGTTACAATTGAAGGCAAAGCAGCGCGAAGATCCAAGGGTACAAGCAAGAGAAGGGCGAGACTCTGCTGATTTACCCATAGTCTGTACTCACTGCAAGAGACCTGGACATGACAAATCCCGCTGCTTTGAAATCATCGGGTACCCAGAACACTAGAAGAATTGAAACGGAGGTAAAACAGGTCGTGGTTGAGGACAAGGGAATGGAAATCGCGGAGGCAAAGGAGCTACGGCCAATGCCATTCAAGGCCGAGCAAGTGCTGTCACTGAAGAAGTGGGAGCATCAAACAACACCATACAGATGTCGTCCCTCTCGCAAGCCCAACTTGATCGTTTAATGTCTCTATTGGGTACAGGTGATTTAGAAAACATGATTCATGATGCACTGTCTGGTAAGAAATTTCCCTTGGTTCACTTATCAAATTGGATTATTGATAGTGGTGCATCACACCACATTTCTAGTAATCTTAAAGTCTTCAAGAATGTTCGAGAGGCTGGAAGGAATGAAAGAGTCATCATTCCAAATGGAGATTCTTTGAAAGTGAATAAAATAGGGGACATCATGATTAACAGACATATCAAATTAAAAGATGTTCTTTATGTTCCAGATTTTAAATGTAATTTGATATCTTCAAGAAAGTTAAGTGAGGATATGGGTTGTGTTATTACTTACTATTTGAATGTTTGTATAATACAGGACCTCACCCGGCGGACGCTGATTGGACTGGGTGATCTCAAGGATGGTCTGTATTATCTACGAAACATACATAGTGCTCTTGCAATGGCCGCCAAGAAGAATACAGAGGAATTATGGCACAAGCGTCTAAGACATCTTTCTAAAAAAAATTATCGTACTTATCTGGAGTATGTGGTTTTGACCGTAACGGTAGTTATGTTGAGTATTGTGATATATGTCATCGTGCAAAATAGACACGAATTCCTTTTCCTTTAAGCAACAATAAAGCTTCACGTGCATTTGAGTTAGTACATTGTGACTTATGGGGTCGGTATTATACTCCATCTCTCTCAGGAGCCCATTATTTCTTAACCATCATGGATGATTTTACACATACTACGTGGATATATCTTTTGCATGATAAATCAGAAACTCAAAGGGTCTTTATGTCCTTTTGTGCTATGGTTAGGAAACAATTTGGGGTCGATATCAAGATAGTTCGTAGTGACAATGGAACAGAATTCTTAGGGACTCTCAACAAATTTTTCCTCAGCCTAGGAATCATTCATCAAACCTCCTGCGTTGGGAAATACCCATTTACCTTTGAAGTTTTGGGGGGAATGTGTTATGGCAGCAGTTCATCTAATTAACTACACTCCAAGCAGTGTGCTAGGAGGTCGCACACCATTTGAAGTGTTGTTTGAAAAAATACCCAATTATTCTCACATTAAGGTTTTTGGGTGCCTTGCGTAAGCCAAGAGACAAGGCATTGGAAAGGATAAGTTTGGAGAACGTGCCGAGAAGTGTATTTTCATTGGTTTCCCATAAGGAAAGAAATGATGGAAAATGTATAATTTGGAGAAAGGAGATATCTTTACATCCCGAGATGTACATTTCTATGAGGAAGTCTTTCCTTTCAACAACAATGACGTAGTCAGAGGAAAACGACTCCCAAGTGAGGGGGAGCACGTGATTGTGGAAGATGAAAATGAGTCATTTAGGGATAAGAGTCTTGTTGGGGCTAATGGCAACCAGCATATAGGTGCAAATGAGGAAGGGGTCCACGCAACTAATGAGGAAACAAATTCGGAAGAACACTAAGGAACGAATGCGTCCGACCAAATTGCAGTGAGCACACCACAAAGAAACGAAAATGAGCAATCAGTTCTGCGACAGGAGCGACCTCAACGAGAAAGAAAACGGCCAAGATATCTAAGAGACTATTTGTGTGACGCGACGTACCACCATCCAACGTGAACTCAATTCGAAAGGCAGCCGCAGGTAAAGCCCATTCTCTAACACACTACATTTGCTATAGTAAATTTAGTTCAACTCATAAAGCTTTTTTAGCGGCCATCGATTCTCAGGATGAGCCAACTAGTTATACACAAGTAGTCAAAGATGAACGATGGATTAAGGCAATGGACAAAGAAGTTAAGGCCTTGGAAGAAAACAAAACATGGGAAATTGTGAGTTTACCTCCAGGGAAGAAAGTGATCGGATGCAAATGGGTCAACAAAATTAAATACAAATCGGATGGAAGCATCGAACGTTTCAAGGCAAGATTAGTTGTGCAGGGCTTCACTCAAAGATGGGGAGAGGATTATACAGAGACTTTCACCCCAGTAACAAAGCATGTGTCTGTTTGTGCCTTTTTAACAGTGGCAGTAGCAAAGGGATGGGAACTTCATCAAATGGATGTAAACAATGTGTTTCTGCATGGTGACCTCAAAGAAGAAATTTACATGAAGCTCTCACCAGGTTTCAGCTCCGAAAAACCAAATGCAGTATGCAGGCTACAAAAATCTCTATACGGCCTAAAACAGGCTTCTAGAAACTGGTTCGCAAAGCTGACAGCATCCTTGCATGAGTATGGTATCAGGCAATCCACCGTGGAAAACACTCTCTTCATATACAGAAAGGGAAACATCTTTCTTGGTCTCTTGGTGTATGTTGATGACATTATACTAGCTGGGAATAGTTTAGAAACGTGTGTAGAATTCAAGGCGTATCTCAACAGTTGTTTCAAGATAAAGGACCTAGGAAATTTGAAATATTTCCTTGGGATAGAAGTAGCTCGGTCCACTACTGAATTGTTTTTGAATCAACGCAAGTTTGTTCTGGACATTTTGAAAAAACTAGACTGACTGGATGCAAACCCGTAGACACCCCAATTGAGCAAAATCATCATTTGGGGTACACCAATGGGATTTTTCATTCTGATCCCAATCAGTACCGAAGATTGGTGGGACGACTATTGTATCTAACAATCACGAGGCCCGACATTACTTATGTTGTGAATGTGCTTAGCCAGTTCGTCCAGCAACCCTGAGTTGAACATTGAAACGGCCTGGTGTGCATTCTGAGATATCTCAAGGGATGCCCATGGCAAGGTATATTGCTAAATGGTGAGAATGACATGGTATTGCGAGGATACTGCGATGCAGATTGGGCAAGCTACCCTTTTACCAGAAAATCAGTAACAGGATTGTACTTCCAACTTGGTTCTTCTCATGTTCTTTGGAGGAGCAAGAAACAGCCCACAATGTCTATTTCCTCAGCAGAAGCAGAATAAAGGGCCATGGCCATGGCTACTAGTGAAGTAGTCTGGCTGCGGAGACTATTAAGTGAATTATTAACACCACAGTCAGGAGCCACTAGTCTTTTATGTGACAACAATGCAGCTTTACACATTGCAAGAAATCCCGTTTTCCATGAGAGGACCAAACACATCGAAGTAGATTGCCATTTTGTACGTGAGAAGCTGCTTTCTGGCGAAATTTTACTGCGCTACCTTCCATCACATTTACGGTTAGCGGATTTGTTCACTAAAGGTCTTGGCAAGCGACAATTTCAATTTCTCCTTTGCAAATTGGGCATTCCGAACCCTCATGCTCCAACTTGAGGGGGAGTAATAGGAAAGTGAGTAATATCCCACGAATTAGGAAGGTGTATAATAGGAAATTACAATTAAAAAAGTGTATATCCTCTGAATTAGGAAGGTGTATAATATCTTGTTAGATAGAAAGGTACATATTATCTTGCTAGACTTTCCTTTTTCCTTTACTTTCTTTTTCTTTTACTTACTATTTTCTATCCACAACTTGTATATATATT